TCAGGGTCGTTAATCAAGTGATCCACCAGCCCAGATCTTTTCCCCCATTTATAACTCAAAGACCAACTGGTCTCATTCCAAAAACCCTAATTCATTTGCACCTTACTCAACCGCCTCATCTCCCCCTTTCCTCTTCTTCTCTCTTCTCACTCGAGCATACAGACCCGTCAATCACTTGAGCCTTGCACAAATTCGTGCAAGGTCATGAACCCATCAAGAAATCATCTCATATGTCTTTCCTTATCCGCAGTTCTCACTTAACATTCCCTTTCAAATCACAAATTCAAACCGCCTAAATTCTGAAACCCTGACCTCAAAGATAAAACTTCAAATCGTAACTGATTTTTCAAATCCATGGCATGCATGGCCATTCCTTTTGTTCCTGCATTCCCAACCCCGTCGTTCTTTCCATTTTCGCCTTTCGATTTCAAAACCCTAGTCAAAATCAGACCCCAAAGATGAAACTTCAAACTCGCTTGTTTCTTCCTTCATTCTTTCAAATCAAAGCGAGCAGGAAGTGTTAGTTGGCTTCATCATCAATATTCGACACTTATAGGTCAAATGCAATGACCTCTGGGTATTAAGGTTTTGACCGATAGTTGCTTCTGCCTCAACGTTCAACAATTCACTCCACTCCAGTACACATGTAAAATCATTACTAGATTCCCCCTCTGTCTTCTGATTTTCACTCAATTAGCTATCATCATCTACCATGCGTCACTCTCCACTACTGATTTTGAATTCGTAAAGCCTTAGAGCATTAAATGTCATTATAAAAAGGGATCTTTAATGTTCTTACAATCGAACACAATCTAACACCAACAAACCAGATCAATCTAAACTTTAAAAAGTCATAAACACTAAGAAATTAGGGTTTCTGATAATTAGGTCTCTTATTATTTTTCCTCTCTTTGCCAAGTTATTTGCTGGTTCAAGCTTGAAGGTTTTCTGGGATCTTTGAGCAACAAAGGGAATTCGTTTCGTATGCTGCTCTTAAGAAGGTCAGCACCTTTCTTTTCCCTTTCTTTATTCACCTCGCTAAATGATTTAGATATGTTAATGTTAAGTTTTGTAGATCATAATTATATTGTATGTGTTGGACATGTTTGATAGTCATGTTTTTGTTAGTATAATAATCCTTTACGAGTAGCCTATTCTGTTATGATTCCTTAAGTGACAATCGATTAGTTGAATGATAACTATTAGTCTTTTTTCTGAGCTTTTCCTATAGTCTCTATGCCTAAAGTCGTATATGTTTATGTTCAATGTAGACTTCATAGTTCTGAGTGACCCATGATGAGCTTATTCCTATTTTATTGCACTTCTGTAATTTTATGAGTTTTTAAAGTTAAGTGTGTTACTTGATAGCTATTGAAACTTGAATTTGTTCAAGACTTATGTCCTTGTCCCTAAACCTTAAGTTTGAAATTACAATGTTCAAGAAGTTTCTTGTCTGCATGTGTTTGTTAAAACTACTTTTGAATTAGCATTATGGTCTTTATTCTGCATGATTACTAACATTGATAAACTAATCATGTTCATGTTTCCATTTCACCAATAATATTGTTATAATGTCCACCTCTGCATATCATTTCCCTGCATTCTATATGTTTGTAGTCGGGTTCATTATGTGGTAATTTTAACTGATATACCATAGGTCCATGTCACTTAACTAAGTTGAAGAATCTGAGTACCTAGATGTTTTTTCTCTGTATCTGTACCTGTTAATTCTAAGAGTGATATCTCAGTTGTCACTAGAACTTTCCCATTATCATGTTCAAATGTTGTATGCGTAAGAAACTATCTTACTTACATCAAGTTGTTCCTTCCTCATGAATCTTTGTTGCATATACATTCTGTAAGATTAACTATTTTCCTCTTTTAGTGTAAATCATGATTTATTTAGACAAAGTGAATTAGTAATTGTTGCATAACTAGGTTTGTCTGTTCCATAATCAATTGAGATCTTCATATACGTGTGCAATACATGCCTGTCCTCAGTCTTTGATCCCCTAATGATTTTTGAAAAGTCTGCATGCATTTATAGTTATCTTATCTCTCATGAAGAAATGATCTAGGCCTACTGTTAAAACCAAATGATAGAATTGAAGCATGGTTACTTCATACCTATATGCTGAGCTAGATTCATATTGAGTTTAAACTTGTTTGATACAATATTTTCATCTCCTTCTCCACTTGCCTGATCAGTTTGATTCTGTAATGTGTAGAGTTCCTATACCTGTTTGATGTCACTACTTCATTTATTCTGCCGATAAGCAGTTGACTGAATGTTTCTACCCTTTGCTTAAATCTGCAACACCATAATCTGTTTTTAACCATGCCCAGTCCTTCTTCCTACTGTTGATCTAAAATTGGATTTGACTCTCAAACCTTATTGAAGTCCATTTGTTGATGTTGTTTGAACATAATAACTGGTTGATACTGTTAGAAGCACGTTCCTGTCGATACCTTAGGGATGATATGTTTAAAACTATGAGTGTGTAATCATGATAAGAATTCAGTCCCATGACCTTGATTATATCTCTAAAACTATTATTGACTATGACTGTTAGTTTGAATTTGCTTTGATGTCTTTAAGTTGCCAAGTAATATTATCGATGCATGTTTGAATATGTTATGTTTTAGTGATTCATTCTTGTAATAATGTGATTATGAAACTGTGTACATTCTAAACTTAGCCCTATATCCCTTTAGTTTTCCTTGATATGTTTCCCTATTTAGTATCATAGTAGTATGTATTCTCTTGTATTATTTTATTAAGAGGAAAGTATATATTTTATGGTTGGTAATACTTTAGTATTTAGTTCGCATTAGAAGGGCCTCATTGCACTTAAACCCATAAGGAAAACATGTCGTTAGTGATTAAGGGTATTTGTGAGCGGAGTTCGACTTTAGGTTGGGCTGCACTCCCCGGCACAAGCATTGCCCTGGGCCTTGAGTCCCTTGGGAATATTGAAGTGTCAGGGGATCCAAAGGGAGCTTCGACCTTGAGTGGGGTTCCCTCCTTAGCTTTTAATTCATTGACACATTTAGTTCTTTAAGGGTTTAGTGTTTAATGACAACGAAAAGTTTTCAATGTGAATTAGTCACTAAGTAAAGCCACCACATTAATATATAATTTCCTCTACTTTGTTAATATTGTTCTTGCTTTAATTAACTGTTCATGTATTTTTCATGTACATAAAAAATGTTCTGTAGTTGGAATATGTTAAATGTATTGGATATATATCTAATAATCTTCTTATTTTTCACATGTACATCTGTTTGGGCCTCTGAGTTCTTAATGAACTCATGCCCAATTCCAGCTCTGTTGCACCGCCAGCTGTGTTCGCTCTTCTTTATTGTTGGGCCTACCTTCTTGAGGCCCAATCCCAGAGTCCAATCCTCTTTCCCTCAACTTTTTTTATCATTATTACTGCCTCATTAATTTATTTTACCGCCTCTACCAATTTAATGTTTAGATGTATTTGTTATATTTTTATTGTGGTTTTACTTCTCATGTATATAACACTCATATATTAGAATACATGCTTTCCTTTTTCCTTTATGCTTTAGTATCATATGAACTTAGGCAAGCCTTAAACAATATGGGATTTTAAAAAAAAGGGAAAATCAGCTAATAGTAAGTTTTTAGTTCGCAAGTTGTAATTTGCTCACTAATTGCTACGTTTTTCACTTACCCTTCTCTTCTTTAAAAGATTTTGAAATACAGAACTTCGTGAAAAGCATCTCTATTTCTAAAAGGAAAACTAGATTTCAACTCTTGTTTTCTCAAAGGAAAAATCAGAACTTCAGAAAATCATCGCTTTAAGGAATTTCCAGCAAATGACTTTTTTTTTAAAAATCCTTCGAATCTATGGTAAATCTTAGATATGCTTTTTCTCAAACATCTTTTTATCATTATGTAAATAACCATCCCCCAAATCAAAGTATTTTTATAACTCAATCTCTTTATTTTAAAATTTAGACCACTTATGTGCTAATTTAAAATTCTTTTAACATCTCTTATGAACCATTTGATAAATTCATATCCTTTTAAGACTCTGCATTCTTTATCATCCTTAGGCGTACAGTAAGAAGCATTCATTATTATTAATCAAAGTTTTCTTTACAAATAATTGATCCCAAACTTAGTCTAAATCCTTTGGAGCTAACTCAGGTTGATTTTAAAGGGTGCCTAACACCTTCCCCTTAGAAGAACAAGAACCCTTACCCAGAATCTCACGGGTTAGAAGACCCGTAAAGAACATGACTTAGTAATTAGATAGGTACCCTAGTATACCTTTAAATATTAGGTGGCGACTCTCTTTCTTCAACAATACAAAAATCACAAGTTGAATCCTGTCTTGACTAGTGCAAAATAGGGTGCAACAATATGGCGACTCTGCTGGGGATATCACACTTAGGTTCTGACCTTAGTAGATTTAGACTAATTTGGCTTCTAGATTTATTTGTAGTTTGCTTTGATTATGATTGAAATTGCTATTACATGCTTACATGACTTATTTGCTCTTTACAATTATCTGCTCTCTATGCTCACTTTGCTATATTGTTGCTACACCCTTGCTTGTTACTGCTTTATATACACAGTCATCACATCTCTTCCAATCAAGTCTTGGCCGTACACTATCACACACAATGGCACATGAGGGTTGTATTTTATACCCCTCCGAACCTTCTTTTCAAAACTCTCTAGTTTCAGAGAATAGTTTTGTCGGGTCAACTGACATAACTTCCCGAAGTTCACAGTCTAATTCAAAAATAGGAAACACTCTACTCTAGTAAAATAGGTCATACTGCATAAACCTTAGGTGAGTTGGTCCCAGGTACCAACACACAATTAGAACAACCACCCTGATGTCAACGGGTCATGCACCCAATGATATAATTTCTGTGGAAAGACGGACAAACATGGCAAGACACTTATGGATCCGAAGCAAACACTTCCCAAATATATTTTCTTCTACCCACCTCTAAAAATGGAAATCAACCAGAACATCCCTAAAATTAGCATGGTAAAGGGAGCACCACATAAGATGAAACAGTGGTGGAAGAATATTCGTCGGGAACACGGAGATGAAGTTCGGACGCACCTAGGGGAATTAACTACATTGATGAACATCCGAACAGACAAAGTGCTCACTCGCCTGTTGATAGAATTTTGGGATCCAACTAAAGTGGTATTCAAATTTGCCGACTTTGAGCTGGTACCGACATTGGAAGAAGTCACAAGTTTTACGGAGCTGCCATTCAACGTAAGAAAGCCAGTGCTGCCAGTCACCATGGCTGGCTATCGGTTCTTCGATGCTCTAGGTCTTACCAACAGCAGAAGTCTCAGAAGTATCGAGGATGGATGGGTAAGCCTCGACCAAATGTTTGATAGGTTTGGGCACCGTGAAAGCTACGAGTGGTATTCAGGGGAGTTTCAATTTGACCAAGTGATATGGAAAAGCCTCAGGCCTAACACTTTCGCAATGGAACTGTTAGGACTATTGGTCTTCCCACAGCGAAGGGGCCGTATCAACATCAACTTGTTACCAGTGGTACTGAAAACCTTCCACGGCAATCTTCAAGCTACTTTAGTGCCGATGGTGTTAGCCGAAATGCTGAGAGCCTTATCCGCCTATGCACGGGGATACGATAATTTCAAAGGATACAACTTGTTGCTGCAGATTTGGGCTACTGAACACTTTTTCCAATGGGAGGCTACTATCGACCACTTCGTAGGTGTCAGTAATATGATTCGCAACCACAATGAAAGAATAAGACACAGGATTTCCCCACATGGCCAAGAAGAATAGAGGGAAACACTGAACAATCTGACAGGAGAATGGATCAACTGGAAACTCTCTTGGTTAGGTGGAAGAGCAATCTTGAGGACTTCCCAAAGGTACTTCATTGAGTTGATCGGATTAGAAGGCATTCAGCCGTACTCACCACTGCAGGTCCTCAGACAATTTGGTATGATCCAAGATGTGCCGTTGTGGACAAGGACGACGTTGTACGAGGATGACTATAATGGCCAGATCCCAATTCCTAGGATAAGGAAACTGCAAGAAGAGTGGAATGACCTGGTAACAATGCATATGGGTCAAAATTCCTGGTGCACCCCTGAGTACTACGTCTGGATTAATGAAGAAGAAGAACTGGCCCGCCCGAGCAGAGAGGGTATAGCTTGGTTAGAGGATGCGGTGGTTTCTTTGTAGATTTACCATGAGATACAACCACACTATATTGTGACCACATCAATGCATCATTAGGTGGTCCCAAGATCCATTGACCATATGTTGCCACCAGCTGAAGAGGATGATCGGGTGGTAGAATGCATCCAGATAGAGTCAAGCACAGAACCATAAGAAGATCCAGAGGAGGAGTCTGAATTCAATGATGATGATGAAGAGTTTGAGGAAGACCCGGAGGAGGATCTGGAAGAGTATCCAGAAGAAGAGAAGGGCCCAGAAGGTGACTCAGGGGATGGTTATTAGAATTGGTTGATTTCCCTTCCTTTTCCCTACTTTGTACCTTTACCCCTAGTTCTCTCTTTTACTTTCCAAAAGGGCAACTATCTAAGCCCATGCAACTTCGTGATGTAATCCTTGTTCCCGCTTGTATCAGTCCATATTATCAATGAAAGCAAATCGCTTCGGTTCTAAATGTGTCAAGTCTAAATGTTTGTCAAGCATCCGCAAATTAGGCCTACCTCTGGCAATGAGAGGTCCCCGCGAATTCTAGGAAAACGCTAGCTGTAATGCACGAATTATCTGCTTTATGTGATTTCTTGCCCGCATAAATGAAGAAACTAACTCTTACTCTTTTTCTTTCTTCTTATTTTTTCTTTTGCTTTATTAATACCCCTTAAGAAGAAAAGAAAGTTGGTTTGCGTTGACTAAAAATGGCGGAGCCACCATACAATCTAAGGTCTAAGGGAAAGATGTCAGCTACAAAAGCCCCAACTGAACATGCTCTGGTCATAGCCGATAGCCCGGGGAGATCGGGGGAAAAGGACAACACTAGGAATGATGAGCACATGGCCAGGATGGCCCAAGAAACGGAATCCTTAAGCGAAGAGGTGCAACATATCAGAGAATTGGCGCACCTGGTTATACCTCTGGTATCACCTTCTAACCCTCCAAATGCTCCTGTTCACACCCCCTACGTACCACAATATCCTCAGACAACACAAAACCCACCTATTACCACTAATACAACTACCCCTTCTCGTGACGGAGTCACTTTCACCACCAACCAGCACACACCCATGGCACATGCCCCTACTCATGAGCGGTATATTCCACCTGTATATGTCATTGCCGAACCTACCTTTACAGCACCCATCACGGTCAGGGTTCCACATGAGATCGATCAATACACTGAGATGGAGAGAGAGGCCAGGCGTAAGGAGGAAGAGTAGGTATCTGAGCAGTTGCAGATGTTAAGAAGGCAAATGAAGAGACTCCAAGTTGCCCGAGGAAGTGAAAGCCTAGATTATGAGGACCTGTGCATTCACCCAGATGTGGATATGCCAATAGGTTACAAACCCCCAAAGTTCGATACTTTTGATGGGACACGGGACCCTCACGCACATTAAGGGCTTATTACGACAAGTTGGTTGGAGTAGGGAGAAATGAGGAGCTGAGGATGAAATTGTTTATAAGGAGTCTGATGGGAGAAGCACTCACCCGGTATACCCGACAGAACCCGCGGAATTGGAGAACTTGGCAAGATAAGGTGGAGGACTTTATGAACCATTTTCGATTCAATACAGAAAATACTCCTGATCAGTTTGTGCTGGTGAACCTACCGAAAATATGATCTAGTTGTTTCAAGAATATGCACGACGTTGGAGGACGAAAGCTGCCAGGACGCAACCACCACCGGACGACAGTGAACTAAACCAAATACTTCATCCGAGCCCAGAAGGGAATAAACTTTGAAAAGATGATGGGAATGATGGGTCAAAAGTTCCCTGAGCTGGTTAAGATGGGAAATTTTCTAGAGGAGGTCATAAAATGTGGAAAGGCGCAATCTATGGCAGCACTGCAAGCAGTCAACAAGGCCATCCAGTCAGGATCGATCGGTAGCGGGAAGAAAAAGAAAGAGAAGGTCTGAGCAATAGTCCCCTACTATCAAACTAACCCATTTCCTGGAAGCACCTCGTACTCCCCAAATTACCACTCACCACCACCTACCTATGCTCCAATCTATAATACCCAACCATACTACCACCCTCAACCATAATACAACCCTCCTTGAGTCAACAACAACCAAAACCTACAACGGCTATATGCTCATGTCCAAACCACTACTCACCAAAACCGACCAGTGTATGCACCACGTACTCGTCCCAACTTTGAAGAGAGGGGTCCTAGAACCTATACCCCAATTGCTGAGCCTCTGGCCCAATTGTTTGAAAGGTTGAGAAGAGCAGGATTGATACACCCAATTGAGGGAAGGTTCTTGAACATCCCTCCAAATATTTTAATGCCACTAAGAGATGCATGTATCATTCCAATGTGCCAGGGCATGATACTGAAGACTGTTTCAAGTTGAAAAATGAAATTGAAACCCTGATAAAGAGCGGAGTTGTCCAGTGCACTCCAGCACCACCTAATATAAATCACAACCCATTGCCAAATCATCGAAACCAGGGAGCCAACTTGATCACATTGGATGAAGAATATGACCTGAAGGGAACAATTGTCACTATAGGAAATGCAGAAGCCGCAATGATCCCTCCTTGGAAGGATCCCATCATTACAATATAACTAAAGCCTACAGTGACAGTTCAAACTTATCCATAGCAACCCGCCGATGCTACTTAGGGTGAAGAAGATCGGGAATACAAAACCATCCATGGACCTATCAGCAAAAGGGAAAAGCCAAAATGATAGACTCTATCGTAGCCCATGGTATGACTAGGTCTGGGAGATGCTACGCCCCTGAAAAGGTCAATCAAGGCAATCAAGGGAGAGAGCAAATTCCAAGGAGAAACATAACAGACCCGGAAGCCGCGGAGTTTTGGAAAAGGGTGTCGAGTAAAGAGTATTATATGGAAGAAGAGTTAAAGAAAACTCCATCGCATATATCCATCATGGATCTATTGATGAGTTTGGATAGCCATAAGGATGCTTTGTTGAAAGTGCTAAGCGGGGTAAGTGTATCAAGTAACATCACCAGCCAGGCATTAGCCGTGACAATTGGGAAAATGGTAGAGGAAAACATGATCACTTTTAGATGAGATGAATTTCCTGTCGAGGGCGCAAGTCACAACAAGGCTCTTCACATCACTGTCAAATATGGGGACAAAGTGGTATCTCGAGTGCTGGTCAACGTGGGATCAGGAGTAAACATTTGCCCGCTCTCCACCCTGCGGGAGTTGGTAATTCATTTGAGGGAAGTCAAAGAAAGCCACGTAAGGGTTTTTGAGGGAAGTCAAAGAAAAATCGCAATGTTAGCTCCGAGAAAAATGTTGTTGTGCCAGAGCATGTTTCATGTCCGGGACAGAGTTCAACGCCCGAAGATGATATCATTGACGGGATGGGAAAGCTAATCGTGAATATGATTGAAGAATGTTGTGAGGGAACAGACATCAAGACAACGACTATCAGGGATGCCGAACCAGGGGAAGAGCTGCAGAATTGGACAGCCAGTCCATCTTTAGTTCCCCGGAAGTCTTGGTAGTATGGAACTGTAAAAGTATTCTTTTGAAAGAACATGGTTAATTGAGGCATGTATCGTGTTTGTACCTTTTTGTCATTTGCCTCTTGTGAACGCTTAAGACCTTCCCCTTTTTGATGAAATAAAAAGAATCGTTTTCTTATGTATCGCAACTCTATTTTACTGCTTTATTTATACCTAGATTTTCTTTTTAGTAATCAAACTGATACAAAACCGCGTTCCGCGATTATGACATGTAACAAAACCGCTGAGCGCCACGATCCGGATTCCGAGGAATATGATGAAAGTATGATGCTAGACAATCTCCCGCATGAGATCGAGTAGTTGGAGAGTTAGAAGAATCCCAACCTCAAAGAAACAGAAGTAGTCAATCTTGGAAGTGAAGAAGACGTGAAAGAAACTAGAATCAGCATTCACCTAGAAGGCAAGCAGAAGGAAACAATGATTGAGCTCCTCCGACAGTACGTCAATGTCTTTGCGTGGTCCTATGATGACATGCTAGGATTAAGCACCAATATTGTCTCGCATCGACTACCCACTAACCCCACCAGACCGCCTGTCAATCAGAAGCCCAGGAAATTCAAACCTGATTTAGGTCTGAGGATAAAAGAAGGCAAACATCGTCCCAGTGTCCAAAAAAGACGAAAAGATCAGAATATGTGTGGATTATCGGGATCTCAACAAAGCTAGCCCAAAGGATGATTTTCCCTTACCAAATATCCACATCCTCATTTACAACTATGTGAAGCATGAACTGCAGTTGTTTGTGGATTGTTTTGCTGGATACCACCAAATCCTAATGCACGATGAAGACGCAGAGAAGACAGCTTTCACCACTCCTTGGGGAGTCTACTATTATAGGTTCGTGCCGTTCGGTCTCAAGAATGCCGGCTCCACCTACATGAGGGCCATGATGACCCTTTTATCACGACATGATTCATAAGGAGATCGAAGTGTATATGGATGATGTCATCATAAAATCTAGGATTTCAGAGCATTTGGACGACTTGAGGAAATTTTTTGAATGCTTACGAAGGTATGATTTGAAACTGAATCCAGTAAAATGCGTGTTCCGAGTCCCGGCTGGAAAACTATTAGGTTTTATTGTAAGCAGGAAAGGGATAGAACTGGATCCGTCGAAAATCAAGGCCATCCAGGAATTACCACCACCAAAGAGCAAGAAAAATGTCATGAGTTTCTTGGGAAGATTGAATTACATCAGTCACTTCATAGCCCAGTCCACAGTAATCTGTGAACCCATCTTCAAACTGTTAAAGAAGGATGCTGCCACAAAATGGATGGAGGAATTCCAGAAAGCTTTTTATAGAATCGAAGAGTATCTTTCAAACCCACCAGTGCTAGTTGCCCCTGAACCAGGGAAACCATTGTTGCTCTATTTGTCAGTCTTGGACAATGCCTTTTGCTGTGTGTTGGGGCAACACGACGAAACTGGGAGAAAGGAGCAGGCCATCTACTACTTAAGCAAGAAGTTCACACCATGCGAACCCAAGTATACTTTGATAGAACG